CCAATTCGCTAGTAGTTCCCCTCTCCAGCTTCTCGCTGGAGCGGAGCTCGCCGCCTCGCCCCCGACGAAAAACGTGTGCTGCTGGAGGGGGCTCTCTGTCCACCCCCGACGGCACTCCCGAGGGTCCCCTCCTGCGCCCTTGCGCGGCCATCCTCAGACGGTCCTCGGCTCGGCAGGCCTTGGCTCGGACAGCCGAGGGTCAGGAGGGGAAAAAACACACACAGACACAATTCATCGTCGATTCCCCGGAAAATGCGGAAAAATATGGGAAGTGGGGGGGAAGACAGAAACCCAGAAAATACAGGAAAAACTAGGGATTCCTGCTGTTTGTGTGTATGTATTTGTGTGCTTGTGGGCCCCTTCAGAGGGGCCCGAGACTCGGGCCCCTCTGCGCGATTCCAGACGGCGCGGTGCCCGAGACGCGCAGGTCGTTCGGACGCCCACGCGAACCAGCAAAGAAGGTAAGTCACGCTGCCCAGCTTTCTTGCCCGCCCCACTTTAGGGGCTTCTGCAGTCGCTGCCCCCTGTTCGCTTCCAAGCCCGAGTCCTTCCCTCCTACGCCCCCATCCTGCCGCCGAGACGCTGCTGAACAGGGCCGCTGCGGGCTCCGCAGGGGGCTCTCCGAGTGCTCGGGCCGCGTGCCTCGGAGCTGGCCCTCGGGGAGCCCGTCCGTGGGCAAAAAGCGCGCCGTGGCCTTCCGGAGCTCCTCCGCTCGGCATTTAAGCGCTCCTCACGGCCAGCACCACGTAGCTGTCACTACGCGTTCTCCCCCTCCTCGCTCGTCCTTCTCGTCGGGTTCCCCGCGGACGCCTCTGGAGAGCCTCGTGGGAGCCTCTCGGCGGTTCACAGCGGCCTTCTGGGGAACTCAGAGGGGCTCTCTGAGGTTCCGTGCGGGGTGGGGGGCCCTGTCAGGCTGTGGAGTAGTTTTTACCCCCTGGTTGGCTTGAACTGGGGGTCGCAAGTCGTTGGCGAAAAACGCATCTGTGTCCCCGGCGTCGCGGGCCCGGCCCCTAGGCCGCGACCCCGCAAATACAGGGCGTTCTTTCGCAGATGCCCTAAGTGGAACGTATCCGTGCGACCGCGTTCCGCGGGATCGCGCCCTAGAATCCAGACCGCGAGGGCGCGGATACGGAGATGTTCGCCGCTCATGAGCAACGGGGCTCTCTCGACGTCTTCCGCAGCGATCACGCCTCGAACTACCTGGCGCTGCAGGGCGTGCTGGGCCGCGACAAGGCGAGGAGGGAAACATAGACGCAACTCACAAATCAACAATCTTTTGTTGCGAAGATCTGCGACATGGAGGGGAAGAGAAACCCTTGCAAAAACTGCAGACAACTGACATATATGTAATGTGTGCCGATTTATGTATGTTCCGCCGCCACAACCGCCGCCGCCGCCGCCGTCGTCGTCGTTGTCGTCGTCGTCGTCGTCGTCGTCGTCGTCGTCGCTGCTGCCGCCGCCGTCGTCGTCGTCGCCGTCGTCGTTGCCAGTGCCGCCGCCGCCGCCGTCGTCGTCGTCGTCGCCGCTGCCGCCGCCGCCGTCGTCGTCGTCGCCGCCGCCGCCGCTGCCGTCGTCGTCGTCGTCGCCGTCGTCGTGTCAGGGGCGGCTCCTGGCCGAGCTGGCGGACGCCCGGCGCGGGCGCACGCCCCTCACGCCCGAGTGGCTCCGGGCGCTCTGACGGCCCCCCCCCCGCCAAGAGGTTTGGCGGCCTCCTCCTCCTCCTCCTCCTCCTCCTCCTCCTCCTCCTCCTCCTCCTCCTCCGCCTCCGCCTCCGCCTCCTCCTCCTCCTCCTCCTCCTCCTCCTCTCGCTCCTCCTCCTCCTCCTCCTCCTCCTCTCCTCCTCCTCCTCCTCCCCTCCCCTCCTCCTCCTCCTCCTCCTCCTCCTCCTCCTCTCCTCCTCCTCCTCCTCCTCCTTCCTCCTCCTCCTCCTCCTCCTCCTCCTCCTCCTCCTCCTCCTCCTCCTCCCTCCTCCCTCCTCCTCCTCCTCCTCCTCCTCCTCCTCCTCCTCTCCTCCTCCTCCTCCTCCTCCTCCTCCTCCTCCTCCTCCTCTCCTCCTCCTCCTCCTCCTCCTCTCCTCCTCCTCCTCCCTCCTCCTCCTCCTCCTCCTCCTCCTCCTCCTCCTTCTCTCCTCCCTCATCCTCATCCTCATCCTCCTCCTCCTCGTACCCCTCCTCCTCCTCCTCCTCCTCCTCCTCCTCCTCCTCCTCCTCCTCCGCCTCCTCCGCGGCCTCCTCCTCAGACCCACTCGCGCTGTCAAAAAAATCGGCGGGAAGTTCTTCGCCTGCGCCCAGCGCCCCGCCCCGCCGACGGCGGCCTCCTCCTCGAGCGCGCAGTGGTCTCGGGCGCCTCGGCCGGCCGCGGGCGTGCCGAGCGCGCTGGGCCGCCAGGGCGGGGCCCCGAAAGACCGTGCGGTCCCTCGCCCTCATTCTTCCAGACCTTCCGTGCTGACCTTCCACACTCTTGCGCTTCGTGAAACGCTGACTTTTCCTGCGCTTCCTGAGGCTTTCCACAGTTCAATGCATCACCTTCCGCGCCTCCCGCAGAGGTCGGAAGGTATGGAAGATGGAGGTGGAGGGGTGTGACGGACCCAGGGCCTGAAAACCCAGGCACGCTCGCGTCGCTAAAACAAAGCCTCGGCGGGAGGGTTTTGGCCGCGTTCGGCCTCCGGGGGCCCTCGCCGGGCCCCAGGGCCGTCAAGAAACGGCTCGGGATGACAAAAAAAAACCGGCCCCGGGGAAGGGGTCGAGACCTCTGGGGGTCCCACGCTGTGCCAAAAAGAACGGCGTCGGGGGTCCGGGGAGACACCTTGGAGCCGGCGCGGACGTGTCCAGGCGCCACGGCGCCGCGGCCCGCGGGGGCTGGAGAGCACGCCCTTCGCTCCAGGGGGCGGCGGCGCGAGAGCGCGACGCTAACTGGCGCATCGCGGGGCGCGGTGCGCGGAGTCGGGTGTTGGAGCTGGCCTGGGGCTCGGGGGCGGCCCAGCATTGCTTGCTTCCGGCCAGCAGGAGGGGGGCGAGCCAGGTTCCGGGGGCCCCCAAACGGGGTGGTGACCGCACCGTGCGGTGAGTCGGTGGGGATTCGGGGTCGCCGCACGGTTTTGGGACTCGAGTCCTTCTCCGAGGACGTCTCGGGCGACTGGGGCATCCGAGGTCCCAAAACCGTGCGTTGACGGGCCGTGCGGTGAGGTCCAGGGGCATTTCGAGGTCACCGCAAGGTCTGTCACCGCACCGCCTCCGGACTCCAAGAGATTCGAGGTTCCAGGCTCGAAGAGGTGTTTGGCTCTTTTCAAGAGGGAAAGAAACACACAGACACAATTAATCGTCGAATCCCCCGAAAATATAGGAAGATATGGGCAGTGGGTTGGAAGACAGAAACCCAGAAAATATTGGAAAATATGGGGACTCCTGTTATTTGTGTCTACTTACTTGCGTGTCCCAGGGCCCCTTCATGATTGGCCTTTTGCAGCCTCCGGGGGCAGTTTTCGGGCCCCCTGGCCGCAAAGAGGAGCGGATCCGGGGTGGAAGGCTGCGGTGTCCTTCGGGGCCCATATCCGGTCTGGTCCGACTCTGGCGGCACGCCCCGTGGGCGCCAGACCGGGTATGATTCCGCGTGTGCAGCGTTCCATTTGTCTTAAGTCGGGCCCGTCCCTCTACAGGAGGAATATTCAAAAATAGTCCAAAAATAGTCTGGGGACTATTTTTTATTATTTTAAATCATTTTGGAGTATTTTTAATTTTTCGTCGAAAATCCCCCTGTAGGGGGACACGCCCGACTTAAGACTTGTCCAGGATCTCGGGTGGGGGAGCGACTAAAGAATTGACTTACCCCATACTTGAGATGTTCGGCGAATCTACGAAAAGTATGTCGAAGGGACGTAGATCTTCTTCGGCGTACACTTTTCTGGCTTCGACGAGCACATCAAGCTTGGGGCAGATCGGTTCTGCGGTCGATCTCCCCCTCGAGGATGCCGGGCGCTTCGGCCCCACCCGGCAGCTGCCGCGCGGTGGCTGCCGCAGGCCCTGCCTTGCCTGGCGGCCTCCAGCCGCCGCCTCCCGCCGCCGCCGCCGGCGCGCCCCAACGGCCGCCAGTGTCCACCGCAAGCCGCAGGGCCACGCGCGCGCACCTTGCGAGCGCAAGCTGCACGCGCACGCCCTGCGCACGCCGCGCGGCGTGCACCCTGCGAGCATCACGCCAAGGTATCGTCGCTGCGTAGCCCGCGTTGACCCGACTCGCCGCCGGCGCGCTCGCCCGCGGCCGCGGACTAACAAGAGTAGCACAGCAAGCAGCCACGGCGCGAACGCAAGGGCTCCCAGGAGGGCGCGAAGTTATTCGCGCTTCGCGCTTCGCCGTCCTCCTTCCTCCTCCCCCTCCTCCTCGTCCTCCTCTTCTCCCCCTTGGGGGGCGGCGCGAGAGCGCGAAGTTATTCGCGCTTCGCGCAGCGCGAAGCGCGAACTTAGGAGCCCTTGCGAACGAGGCACACTCGGACGCACGCGCCTGCGAAAACGCACTGCGCACGACGCCTCCGACCGCCGCCGCCTCCGACGCGACGCGCTCCGGCCGCCTCGCGGGGCGACGCGCTCGCCGGGGGCAAGGTCTGAGTCGGGCCTGTCCCCCTACCAGGGGATTTTCGACGAAAAATAAAAGATGCCCCAAAAATAGTCTGTGGGGTATTTTTTGAGTATTTTTTGACCTTTGGGGGGTATTTGGGGGGTATTTTTTATGTTGTTGTTGAAAAGCCCCCTGTAGGGGGACACGCCCGACATAAGGCAAGGTTCGGGCTGGGGGTTGCCGAAGGTGCCCCTGGCCCGAGGTCCTCCCAGCTTGTCGCTCCATTCTGGAGCCCCCTTCAGGGGCAACGACAGGGGGGGGGGATGGGCATAAAGGGGGAAGGCATATCGACGCCCAATCGCCCACTGATCCAGCCTGCCCAGGAAGGTGCGGACTCACGATCTGGGGCCTATCGGTGGTGTATCGCCGATTCCAGGTCGATGCATCCCCCCCTAAGCCAGTCCCCCCCATATCGTTGCCCCGCACCCTTGGGGCCCTCCGGGCCTCGTGAGGGGTGCTCTGGAGGCCGTGGGGGCCTCCCTGGAAATCCTGGGGGCACCTCGGGCCAGGGGCACTCCGAGCAAAACCCGACAGGGGGGGGAGGGGTCGGCTCAGGGGGGACGCAATGACCCGCAACTGGTCGCTCATCACCGACAGGGGCCCGATAGCCCACCCCGCTCAGGGCCGTGCGGATGCGCGTTCGGTGGCCCGTCGCCTACCTACCGGCGACGCACCGCCAATCCCAGGTCGGTGTTTCCCCCCCTGAGCTGGTCCTCTCTATCGCTGCCCCTCACCCTTGCCGCTCCCTGAGCTCGTCCTCCCCATCGTTGCCCGACGCGCTCGGCATGCCTGCGGCCTGCCGAGGTGGCGACCACTGCCGCTGGCGGCGCGCTCGGCCTGGCTCGGGGGCCCCCAGACGGTGTGGTGACCACCCCGCGTGGTGAGTCAGTGGGGGTGCGCGGTCACCACGCAGTTTTGGGGCCTCGGGTCGTTCTCCAGCGACGTCTCGAGCGGCTGGGGCCGCCAGGGTCCCAGAGCCCTGCGGTGACGGACCGAGCGATGAGGTCGTTGGGGATTCCGAGGCCACCGTGCGGTCCGTCACCATGCGGTCGTGGGGGCCCCCGAGTGAAGCAGCCTCGACGACGTCTTGTGTCGGGCATCTCGGGAAGGAGGAAGATAGGGCGCAAATGGGGAGGGGGAAGAGCAGGAGCAGGAGAAGCAGAAAATGCAGGAAGTAACGAGGAGGAGGAGGAGGCGACGGAGGAGGAGGAGGAAAAGGAGGAGGAGGAGGAGGCGGAGGAGGGGGAAAGGGAGAGAGGGAGAGGGAGAGGGAGAGGGAGGAGGAGAAGAAGGAGGAGAAAGTAGGAGGAGGAGGAAGAAGAAGAGGAAGAGGAGGAGCAGGAGGAAAAGGAGGAGGAGAGAGGAAGAGAGGGAGGAGGAAAGGGAGGAGGAGGAGGACGAGGAGGAAAAGGAGGAAGAGGAGGAGGAGAAGAACGGAGGAAGAGGACGAGGAGGCGGATGAGGAGGAGGAATAGGAGGAGCAAGAGCAGGAGGAAGAGGAGGAGGAGGGGGGAGAGAAACATGAGCATGAGCAGGAGGAGGAGATCTGGACCAGGAGGGAGAAGGCGAAACAAGAATGTGAAGAAGAGGCGAAGAAGGAAGGGGGATGGCGACAGGGGGGTGAGAAGGGGAAGGGGAAAGGTGGGGGGATGAGGGAGGGGAGGAGGGGCATGGCAGCGGGGGGTCAAATTGGAGAGGAAAGGGAAGGTCTGAAGTTGTGTGTAAGTCATTTTGTTTCTTTCGCCTCCTCTTCTTCATCATCACCCTCGTCCTCATCAGTATCACTCTCATTATCCGCGTCATCCTCCCCGGCCATTTGCTCCTCCTCCTCCTCATTTCTGCTCCTACTCCTCCGCCTCCTCCTCCTTCTCCCTCTCCTCCTCGTCCTCCTCCTCCTCCTCCTCCGCCTGCTCCTCCTCGTACTCCTCATCATCCTCATCCACCTCATCATCATCATCATCATCATCATCATCATCAGCAGCAGCAGCAGCAGCATCAACCTTCTGTTTATCCTCCTCATCCTCATCCGCCTCCTCCTCTTCATTCTCCTCCTCCTCCGCCTCCGCCCTCCTCACACGCGCATTACCATGTTACTCTTTCCATGTGTCTTCCCTGACACTCTCTCCTCCACGCTCATGTTCCCTCCCTGTTCCTCCTCAGCCTCGTCCCCCTCCCTCCTCACTCCTGCTCACTTTCCTTCTCCTCATCCTTCTCCTCCTCCTCCTTCTCCTCCTCCGCCTCCTCCTCCGCCTCCTCCGCCCCCTCCTGCTCCTGCGCCTCCTCCTCCTCCTCCTCCTCCTCCTCCTCCCTCCCTCCTCCCTCCCTCCCTCCTCCCTCCCTCCTCCTCCTTCTCCTCCTCCTCCTTCTCCTCCTCCTCCTTCTCCTCCTCCGCCTCCTCCTCCGCCTCATCCTCCTCCTCCGCCTCCGCCTCCGCCTCATCCTCCTCCTCGTACTTCTGCTCCTCCTCATCATCATCAGCATCATCATCATCATCAGCAGCAGCAGCAGCATCATCATCATCATCAGCATCATCATCAGCATCAGTATCATTAGCATATTTGTTCTCAGCATATTCATCATCATCATCTTTCTCAGCATCATCTTTCTCAGCATCATCACCATCCTCATTCACCCTCCTCCTCCCCCTGCTCATTATCCTCCCGCGCACGCGCCCCCGCTCGCGCGGGGGAGGGACAAGAAGGAAAGGTGAGGGAGGAAGGAGGCACGAGGGAGGGTGAGGGGGGAAGAACGGATTGTAGTGCAGCGTTGGTGCCCTGTGAGGGTAGGCGTAACCCGTTGTGTGTTGGCTGGGGCACTTACGCTCTCCCATTCTTGATCGTCGGTGCCGGTGAAAGTAGGGAGGAGGGAAGGAGGGAAGAGGGGGAGGAGGAGGAGGAGGAGGAGGAGGAGGAGGAGGAGGAGGAGGAGAGGAGGAGGAGGAGGAGGAGGGAGGAGGAGGAGGAGGAGGAGGAGGAGGAGGGTGTGGCGACGGCGGACATTGGCAGTGTCGTGTAGACGTGCTCACGAGGGTGAGGAAGAAAAGGAGCAGCAGCAGCAGGAGGGAGGAAGGGAGGGAGGGATAGAGGGTGGGGATGGGGAGGGGAGGGGAGGGGAGGCAAGCTAGGTGCGCTCTCGTCATATATGACGTCCTACCCCTCCCGCCCACCTTACCATGGCGTAGATCTCTTCTGGGTTCGCACAGTCGGATGTCGTTGCAGGGCATAGCATGACATAGCATGACATGGTGTTGAAGATCAACGCGTAGCCTGACATGGCATGGCGTGGCGACGCCCCAAAATAAAAGGGGGGGGCTTCTGCGGCCCATAGAATCAACGAATCGACACCGAATGTGTAAGCACTTCCGATGGTTGTTTCGGGGGGCCGTGTTCTAGATTTTGGGGCCTATTTGGAAGGACCGTAAACCATGCCGTGGCATGGCGATGGAAACAATGCGCCAGCGTTGCCGCGGGAGCACGATTCGGAACGAGCGGAAGCGCGGAAATGAGGCCATCGCTGCAGCTGGAGAGCACGATTCGGCACGAGCGGTAGCCCAAAAATGAAGCCGGCGCTTCAGCGAGAGCAGCATTTTGAAACAGCAAACAACAACAAGAACAACAACAACCACAACAACAGCAACAACAACAACAACAAAAACAAAAACCAAAAACAAAAACAACAAAAAAAAAAGCAGCAGCAACAACAACGACAACGACAACAATAACGATAACGATAACAACAACAACAACAACAACAACAACAACAACAACAACAACAACAACAACAACAACAACAACAACAACAACAATACACAACAGCAAAAACAACAGCAACAACCAAAAAATCGTATCCCGGGAATCCTGTGTTTCAAAAAACAATACGCGGAGGGGGCCGGATGTTTCCCGCACGCCACCAGGGGAGAGGAGAGTAGTATTCACATTGTGTAATTGTGGACGGGAGGGGAGGAGGAGGAGGAGGAGAGAGGGAGAGGGAGAGGGAGAGGGAGAGGGAGAGGGAGGAGGAGAAAAAGGAGGAGAAAGGAGGAGGAGGAAGAAGAAGAAGAAGAGGAGGAGCAGGAGGAAAGGAGGAGGAGAGAGGAAGAGAGGGAGGAGGAAAGGGAGGAGGAGGAGGACTAGGAGGAAGAGGAGGAAGAGGAGAAGGAGGAGAAGGAGGAAGAGGAAGAGGAGGCGGAGGAGGAGGAGGAGGAGGAGGAGGAGGGGGAGGATGGCCAGTGGAAACCCAAGTCTCATCAACGATGTTGGAGGAGACCCTCCCTCCAAGTTCCCTCTTCACAGGCTTCTCCAAGGGCTCCTTTCCACTGAGGGAACTGCCTCGCTGGGAGACCACCAGCCGTCTGAAGACCTGAAGCGTGCCAAAAAACACCGTTCTCGGGACTCGGACGCCACGAAACAGCATGACTGTTGCGTCTCGACGATGCGAAATCGCGTCAGAGCAGCACTCCTGGACTTCAACACCGCGAACCAACGCAACCGTTGCGCCCTCACAATCCTGAGCCCTTCCCAAAAGAAACAGTTTTGGCACGATGACCCTGGAAATCCGTGGGACTATTGGAGCTTCTTTTTTCATATAAAGAAGGAATGCACGCGGCGCTTAGGCGAGAGCCACATTTTCAAAAGGGACCGTCCTCAAATCGTTCAAGTCTTGCAAAGTTGTAGAAGCTGTCAAACACATGTGCGCGGCGCGAAGGCGAGAGCCATAGTTTGATGAGGAACCACCTTCAATCCGTGACTTGTGTCCTATGTTTAAATCGATTGTGCACGGCGCTAAGGCGATGGTCACTTTTTGAAAACCACCCACCCTCAGTCCGTGAAATTGCTGCCATCTTCTAGGTCTCAGGACCATAAATTATGAGGAAGTCTCACGCAGAACGCCCGGCCCGCCTTTTCGACCGGCTGCGGGGTGCGACGGGGAGGAGTTATTCATGAGGAAAAGGAATGGAGGGAGGGAGGGACAGACCGAAGGAGGGAGGGAGAGAGGGAGGGACGGAGGAAGGGGCGGAAGGAGGGAGGGAAGTGCAGCAGCAGGGAGGAGGAGAACCTCCCCGTCCCCCTCCTGCAGCACGACGTCATCCCGCTGCTACGCGAGCACAATATGGCGAGGGAGGTGTGGACGGACCTCGCGGACGCAATCAGGACGGCACCGTCTCCTTTTTTGTCGGCGGCCACGGCCGTCCTTTCCTGCCTTCGGATGCGGGGTGGATAGCACGGGGCGAGGGGAGGAGGGAGGAGGGAGGGGGAGGAAGAGGAGGAAGAGGAGGAGGAGGGAGGAGGAGGATGCGGGGGGGATAGCACGGGGCGAGGGGAGGAGGAGGAGGAGGACGAGGAGGAAGAGGAGGAGGAGGAGGACCAGTGCAAACCCGCGATTCATCCACGGCGTTGCAATAAACCCTCCCTCCAAGCGCCCTCTTCACGGGTCCCTGCAGAGATGCATCTTCACCGCGGGAAGTGCTCCATGTAAAGACAGGCGTTTGAAGATCTGCAAGCACGCCAAAGCACCAATCCTGGGACTTCGTGCCAGAACACCGTTCCTGCGACTTCAACACCGCAAGTCAATATGACTGTCGCGTCCTGACGAGCCTGAATCGATTTCAAACACCATGCCTGGGACTTCAGTGAAAAGAACCTTCGGAACTCCCGCAAATTGTTAAGACGAGTGTGCGCGGCGCGATGGGGAGAGCCACCTGTTGAAAAGGAGCCGCCCCCCACTTGCGAAACTCTTCAGACTTTCAACACGACTGTGCGCGGCGGTGAGGCGAGAGCCACATTCTAAGCAGGGCCCGACCTCCATCCGTGAAACTCCTGCAAAGTTTTTGGACGAGTGTGCGCGGCGCCGCAGCGAGAGCCACATGTTGAGAACGGCCGCCCTCCATCCGCGAAGCATTGGCAAACTGTTCAAGACGAGCATGCGGGGCGCTACAGTGGAAGCCCATGCCAAGAAACACCCTGCTTGCCTTCAGGGTGTCCTGTGTTTCTTGGGTTTTGATGGTTCTGCGATGGAAAGCGTGACGTTCCCACACCAAAAGTCAGTGGTCGTCCTGGGATCTCAAGGTTGGGTCTCTTGTTGAAGATTTCTTATGGTCGAGCTGCTACTGTAAGGCGAGAGCCATACATGTTGAAAACGGCACGCCCTCCATCCACGAAACGAATGCGCGCGGCGCTAAGGCGAGAGCCACAGATTGAAAACGGGCCGCCCTCCATCAGTGAAGTTGCTGCAAGGTCTCAGTTTCATGATCATAAATTGTGAGAAAGTCTGAGGCGAAACGCCCTGTCCGCCCTACCGACCCGTCTCCTGGGTACGAAAGGGAGGAGTTATCCATAAGGAAGAGGGATGGAGGAGGAGGAGGAGGAGGAGGAGGAGGAGGAGGAAGGAGGAGGAAGGAGGAAGGAGGAGGAGGAGGACGAGGAGTGGAACTTAGAACGGCGAGGGAAGGGGGAAGGGAAGGCTGAGGAGGGGGAGGAGGAGGAGGAGGAGGAGGAGGAGGAGGAGGAGGAGGAGGAGGAGGAGGAGGAGGAGGAGGGCATGGCTTGAGACCACAGGGGGCGGGGCCGGCACGGAGAGCGACGACGGCCACGGCGGCCGGCAGCGACGACCACGACGCCGGCCACGGAACCCGACGGCGGGCGCCAGCGGCGGGCGCCGACCGACGGCGGAGAGAGAGGGCGGCTCTCCGCAGGGGCGGGCGCGTGCCGCTGCTGCAGGCCGGGTGCGGGAGGGGCACGCTGCGGGGGCAGGGGCGGCCGGCGGCGCGCGGTGTGGGTCGGAGGAGGTCGGCCACGCGCAGAAAGGGGCTGTGAAGTCCGACGATTCGATGTGATTTGACTTGTCCAATCCCGACGATTTGATTCGATTTTTCTGGGGGGTGCGAAATCTTTCGGAGGTTCTCGGGAAGCGGGGTGGCTTCCATGAGCTGCTCCTCGTCGAGAGCCCTCCTGTGGTACCGGAATCGTCCGAACGGCCGCCGGAGGCCCGAGCTATGGCCCGAAAACCACCCAGACGAGCTGAGACGACGGTGGTTGGCTTCCGCGGGGGGGTGCTTCGTCGCCAACTGGTGCGTGTGGACCCCAAGAGGGTTCTGGGGACCGATTTCGAGCTGGAGTTGTCTCAACCCCCCTTGCTCCGAGCGGGGTGGTTGCGGGAAAATCTCTCGGCCAGCGCCTCGGCGCTTCGACTGGCCAAGGCGCTCGAGGCCTGGCCGTCGGTTTTCGTCTTCCTCGTCCTCCTCGTCCTCCTCGGCCTCCTCCTTCTCCTCCTCCTACTCCTCCTCCTACTCCTCCTCCTGCTCCTCCTCATCATCATCAGAATCATCATCCTCATCATCATCATCATCATCATCGTCGTCATCATCATCATCATCATCATCACATCATGATTATCATCGTCATCATCATCATCATCATCATCATCATCATCATCATCATCATCATCATCATCATCATCATCATCATCATCATCGTCATCGTCATCGTCATCGTCATCGTCATCGTCATCGTCATCATCATCGTCATCATCATCATCATCATCATCATCATCATCGTCATCATCATCAGCAGCAGCAGCAGCATCAACATTCCCTCCTCTTCTTCCCTCTCCCCTCCCCCCTCCTCCTCCTCCTCCTCATTCTCCTCCTCCTCCGCCTCCTCTTCCTCCTCCTCTCCTCGAAGAAGAGTAACGGCGCAGAAGACCCTCGGAGCTCCGTGCGCATTTCCAGGAGCGGCGGTGCGGCGGCGCCTCCTGCGCCACCCCGACAGACCTCGCCTGCCTGACCAGGGTCGCCCAGCCTTGCGCCGTGCAGGCGGGGAGCGGGCTCCACAGGTAATTACGTCACGCTCCACCTGGCGGGCCGCGCTCGTCCGAGCGGGGATGGCTATCGGCGTCCGCACGGGCGAGGGGTGTCTAGGACTATGTCGGGCGTGTCCGCCTACAGGGGGGTTTTCGACGAAAATGAAAGATACCCCCAAAATGCCCCAAAAGGCCAAAAAATATTCAACAAAATAGTCCCCAGACTATTTTTGGACTATTTCTGGATTATGTTTTGGGTATTTTTTTTTCGTCGAAAATCCCCCTGTAGGGTGACAGGCCGACCTAAGTCTAGGACACGGGCCAATGGGAGCATGGGTCCGAGGATGCTGCGGCAGAGGACCATGGGTCAACACGCTCACCAGAGCCAGTGACCTCCGGACACCTTGCAGTTCAGAACCAACGGTCGGAGATCGCTCTGTCCACAGCCACCATTGACACAATATGGGCCCTCATCAGGCCACCACGGAGGCGTGCGGCAGCACGCGCCGAGCGACCACGTAGCCGCAGCCGAAGCCACAGCCCGCGCCATTACCGCAGGGGCACCAGCCCCGTCGGCAGAGCCGAGAGAGCAGAACCCGCGCTCACAGAGTCGTCACCGAGACCGCCAGCCATCGCAGCGGCCAAACACGCAGCGTTGGACCCAGCGCAGCTGCCAGCCATCTGGTCTCTTTCACAAACGCCCGACAGGCTCCCCAAGGCCCCCAAAAGAGACCACCTGGCAGCCGAGGTATCAGACGCCCTCCTTGACACGATCACTGACATAGGACGGGTCAGAGACACCACCGTGGAAAACATGGACGCCATCAATCAAGCACTGCAGGCTAGCAGTCACGCACGCGGCTGGTGCAATCTGGGATCGCGCTCTCCTCCTCCTTCTCCTCCTCCTCATCCTCATCCTCATCCTCCTCCTCCATCTCCTGCCCCTCCTCCTCCTCGTCATCATCATCAACATCATCATCAACATCATCATCGTCAACAACAACATCATTATCATCATCATCATCATCATCATCATCATCATCATCATCATCATCATCATCATCATCATCAGCATCATCATCCTCATCCTCATCCTCATCCTCATCATCCTCATCCTCATCATTATCATCATCATCAGCAGCAGCAGCAGCAGCATCATCCCAAAAATGTGGGGAGGGGGAACGGAGGGAGGGCCCGGAGGCATAGACGAGCCCAGCCCCCGCCGAGGTCCCAGCGGGACCTGAAGGGAGGGAGCGGGGATGAGAAGGACGAGAGAACCCTCCTTGAGAAAGGCGGAGGGGGAGGGCTACCTTCTCGTTTTCGCCTTGCTGGGCCTGGGAGGCCCTCTTCGCCACCGCTAGATTCGCCCCGAAATTCTGGTCAGAACCCACCCCTGGGAGAGGTCCGGGGAGCAGCGGTGTCGCTACCTTTGGGTTTCCCCGGGAGGGGGGAGGAGGAGGAGGAGGAGGAGGAGGAGGAGGAGGAGGAGGAGGAGGAGGAGGAGCAGCAGGAGGAGGAGGAGGAGGAGCAGGAGGAGAGGTGAGGGGGGAGGCAGGAAAAGAGAGCGAGGGAGGGAGAGGCCTGTGGGCAGGGCGCCCAGGAGGACGCAAATCCGGCCCCAGCCTCGGCCGCGGGCCCCGCCGCCGAGGGCGCCGCGGACGCGAGGGGCGGGAGTGCGGAGCACCTCTGGGAACCGCGGGCTCGCCCAGAAAGCCCTCGGCGAGGCGCAGCTGCTGGAAAGCACCCCGAGGCGAGAAGATCCTCGATAGCCCAGCGTAGCCTCCTCCTCCTCCTCCTCCTCCTCTTCCTCCTCCTCCTCCTCCTCCTCCTCCTCCTCCTCCTCCTCCTCCGGGAGCTGCGGTTCCGAAGGTCCGCCTTGGGACCCGCGGCCGCCGCCACCAGCCCGGACCATCTCGCTCCGGCCAAGCCTCAGATAAGGAAGAGGTACCCATACCTCTACCCTGTCTTCTTTTTCCCCTTTCTGGGCATCCTCGGAGGCCCTCTTCGCCACCGCTGGATTCGCCTCGGAGTTCTGGTCAGAACGCACCCCGGGAGAGGTCCGTGGAATACCGGTATCGGTGCCTTGCGGCTTCCACAAAGCTTTCGAGGAGGGACAGGCGGGGAGAGGGGGAAGCGAGGGAGGGGGAGCAGCGAGCATCGAGAGGAAGGAGGGGAGGGAGGGAGGGAGGCTGGCCCGTCCCAGCCCAGCGAGGACCGAGAGGAAGGGAGGGAGGAACTTGCAGGTGAGCGCGCGAGAGAGGAAGAGCGAGAGAGGGAGAAAAGAGGTTGCGCCGCTCCATCTCCCCAGACATCCGACGTCTTGGTTCTTTCAATGCGCGGCCCCTGGAAGTCCCGACCCTTTCCACGGGGCCGATGTTGTTCATCCTGGGCCGTCTTCTGACGGTCCCCGGGCCCAGCGAGGGCCCCCAGAGGCAGACAATAGGAAAAAGTTCCGGCTTGATTCCTTCAGTGCGTCGCAGCTCTGGGTAGCTCCATCCCCTCCCGTCCCCCTCTCCTGGCCATCCCCTCGCCCCGCCCCGCCTCCGTCACCGCCAGGCCCGTTGGGAGGAGGGCGACGGCCACACCGACAGGCGCCCCAAGGGGGGGGGGGTCCCCTGTTGTGGGTACCCTGGAGGTTCCCTGCATTGGTTTTTACTGCACAGTGGAGACCCGTGCCAAGAAGCACCCTGCTTGCCTCCAGGCTGCTCCTGGTTTCTTGGGCGTCGATGGTTTTGCGATGGAGAGCGCGGCGTTCCCACACCAAAGATCCATGGACGCCCTGGGGTCTCAGGGTTGGGTTCCCTGCGGAAGGTTTCTGATGGACCAGCCTCCACTGTAGGACGGCTTCCAGGGTCTTTTTTTGCGTACTCGAGCAGCACTTCTGAAGGAGTCCCATACTCCCACAGACCCGCGGCCTGGCTCTGGGCCTTTGGCGCACTCGACTCGCACTTCTGATATTGTGAAGACCTGACGGCCGGTGCCGCCGACCTTGAAAGACATCGACGATGACCAGGAGGGGGAGGAGGAGGAGGAGGAGGAGGAGGAGGAGGAGGAGGAGGAGGAGGAGGAGGGAGGAGGAGGGAGGAGGGAAGAAGGAGGAGGAGAGGAGGCGGAGATGATGAAGAGGAGGAGGAGGAGGAGGGAGGAGGAGGAGGAGGAGGAGGAGACCCACGCCCTGGCCCTGGGCCTTTGGCGCACTCGACTCGCGCTTCTGATACATCTCCACGGAGCCAGGCCAGGCCCTGGGCCGCTTCGGGGGGCGAAGGAGGGGCTCCGAAGGACCAGGCAGGCAGCGCCGCGGCAGCGTGCTGGAGCTTGCGGCGTGTGGGGAGGAGGAGGAGGAGGAGGAGGAGGAGGAGGAGGAGGAGGGAGAGAGCAGAGGAGGAGAGGAGGAGGAGCAGAGCAGGAGGAGGAGGAGGGGAGGAGCAGGAGCAGGAGAGGAGCAGGAGCAGGAGGGAGAGGAGGAGCAGGGGAGGGAGAGGAGGAGGACAGGAGGAGGAGCAGGAGCAGGAGGAGGAGGGGAGGATAGGCAGTATCAGGAGCAGGGCAGGAGCAGGAGCAGGAGCAGGAGCAGGAGCAGGAGCAGGAGCAGGAGCAGGAGCAGGAGCAGGAGCAGGAGGAGGAGGAGGAGGAGGAGGAGGAGGAGGAGGAGGAGGAGGAGGATTCTGCACCCTTGTATGCAGGATGCCTTGCAGCTTTCCAGGGCGGATGCCCCTCTTGCCGCAGCGGCCCGCTCAGGGCCGCCCCGAGCCGTGGCTCCCGAGCGGGGCGGCCGTGGCAACCGCGAGGCCCCCGCGGCTCCTGGGGTCCAGGTCCGCGAGCCGGACGACGCCGGCGCCCAGCCAGCGACGGGGATCCTGGGGCGGGTGGTCATCCCAGACATGCTCGCGTCGAAACAAAACTCACGGCGGGGAAGCTTTTGGTCGCTCTCGGCCTCCGGGGGCCCTCGCAGGGCCCCAGGGCCGTCAACTGAAGCTCAGGATGAAGAACCGGTCCCGGCGAAAAGGGTCGGGACTTCCGGGGGCCGCGTATTGACAACATCAGGGCGTCGTATGTCTGGGATAAGGGGTGACCTAAATGCGGGCTGAAGAGAGGGGCCCTCAAGGGGCCCTTCGGGGCCCCTGCTGGCTCTTCACCCCCCATTCGGGTACCCCCCCGCTGCCACCCGCCCGCCGCGTCCTCCCCGCCATTCCAGCTTGGCGGCGAACTGCGTTGAGCATCGTTTAACCGATCCCCATCCTCACGGGCAGAGTAGAGTAGAGTAGAGTAGAGTAAAGTAGAGTAGAGTAGGACCAGAATAGAACAGATTAGAGTAGGGGAAATGGGTGGGTTAGGATAGGGTAGCGTAGTGCAGGGTAGTGTACGGCAGGGTAGAGTAGGGCCGGTCACAGTAAAGCAGGGTCGAATGATACAGGATAGATGGTAGAGTAGAACCGGTTAGATTAGAGTAGGTGGGAGCACAGTAGAGTAGAGCCGAGAAGAGTAGATGAGTAGAGTCGGGCATAATGGAGTAGAGTAGAGTAGAAGAGAGTAGGGTAGAGGAGAGTGGGGTAGACTAGAGTAGAAGTAGGGTTGGGGAAAGTTAGCCAGGCCGAGCGAGCCAGAGAGCCTCGCCTATGTTCATGTTCACCTTCCCTCCCACAACATAAGAATAGAGTGGCACAGCTTGAAGTTGGGATTGGAACGCGCTCCCACCTCGCAATCAAAAGGCGCTCGCGCGCAGCCCCGCTTCAGACGACTCGGCGAAGGGAAAGCGACGCGGGCCGCGCAGGGGCGGGGGTGGCAAAACTTTCGATGGGCGCGGCGAAAACGAAGCATGCGCCGCGCTGGCACAGCATTGCCACTTTCACTCACGAGCGTCGCGGCGCTTGGGCGAGGTCAGCATTTAGCCCGCTCTCTCGCGACCCCGCTGCCACTGTCGCTTGCATGCGCTTCGAGAACGAAGCATGGGCCGCGCCCGCGCGGGCAACCACTTCCGAGCGACACGCGCACCGAGCTTGGACGAGGGCGACACGTCGCCCATACGCGCAGTGGTGTTTTCAGGCGAGCTCTTCGCGGCGCCGAGGCGACAGCGATTTTGTTCGCACGTGCGCGCGTCGGCGAGGCTGCGTGCGACAAGTGCGCGCCGCGCTCCAGCGGGAGCTCAACTCTTTGCAAAGTGGGGTGCGGCGCCGAGGCGACAGCGCCCCGTCGCACTCCCGCCACGCAGTTTGCAACGTGGACGGCGTAATGTGTGCGTTGGTACGTAAAGCATTGACTGTTTGTTGTTATTTCTTGGCATCGCTCGGGCGTGTGCGTTTTTTTTCGGCGAGGACCATCGAGGAGCATTCTTGATCACTTGGCGAAAAAAACACGCACGAAACCGAAAAAAACACCGGGAATGGACGTCCGAGCGATGGCCAGATTTTGACAGCTAGGATGGGGCCACCCAAACTGAATTGCTATCGGCCCGTTTTGTGGCCCAGTGAGGGTGGAGTCCAATCACGACTAAGGGTGCAGTGTTGTAGAGTGGAAAACAGTTGGATGGAGTAGAGTAGTACGTTGATCAGAGTAGGGTAGAGTAGACAAGAGTAGAGTTGAATTAAGTAGAGTAAATGGTTCGCTCAAGTCGGGTGGAACAGTGTAGAGTAGAGTAGAGCGGAGTAGAGTCCGCCCAATTCCAAGCCAATATATCCCAGTTCGGTCTAGTTCACTCCACTCTTGTCCACTTCGTTGGAGGCTTTTGAATATATATATATATATATATATATATATATGTGGAGTTTGCGATGGCGGATATTTCGGATGAACGACCGTGCTGTACGAATCTGCAAAGTGCGCGGAGGGGTAGTGCGAACCCCAGCATCGGTGGGGGGGTCTAGTTGCAGTCGTAGCACGACAGGGAAGACACACGTGGGTGCAATCTGTGTGGTGGAAGCTTCAGGGTAGAAGCTACGCTGTGTCAGCTATGCATTGCACGATACCTCGTGCAAACTACGTGGTGCTCGCCGCCCCAGCGCACAGGGCAGCCGCGAGGCGGCCACGCTGCGGCCACGGGGCGCACCCAGAAGCGCCAGCCAGTGGCGCAGGACGCGAGCAAGAACCCTTCAGCGCAAGCACTGCGTAGTGAGTACAGTAGGTCTTGGCATCGCTCGGACGTGTGCATTTTTCCTTCGGCGAGGACCATCGAGGAGCATCCTTGATCATTTGGCGAAAAACCCACGCACGAAACCAAAAAAAGGACAGGGAATGGACGTCCGAGCGATGGCGGGAGGTTCGTGCGGCGTTGGCACGCCAGCGACGCCGGCGAAGGCGTTCAAGGTTGCATTTTGCGACCCGGAAGCACCGATGGGCACGGCAACGACACTGGACCCGACTGAATTCAATTTTGAACGATGAGGGCCGCGATCGATTCAAGGTTGAACGATCGGCGCGGTGTCAAAAATTGTTGCGCGCGCCGACGCCGCACGAACCTGCCGTATACGGTCGGACTGGGGTATCAGATCGAGGTCGGCTCGAGGAGGGTACCCCAATGTCCTTCGTGCTTGTGAGATGTTCTTGTGCATCCTGGGGAGGGTGCCCTTGTTCTGTGTTTTGGCTGGCGGAGGGTCTCATGTGTTTGAAAGATTTGTTATACCTTAGGTCTGGCTGTATACACTATTGCTGAAAGTCAAGTGGCGAGCAAGCGAGCAAACAAACCATAAATGTTTGGTGCGTTTCGTCTTGGCGCCTGCAGGGCGGCTGTGGCCAAAGCGAGCCTCCCACGAGGTACATCTTCGCCTACGGGTCGTTCCGGGACTTCTTGACGCGCGAGTCGTTCCGGACCGCCCCGCCCTGCGAGCGTCGCGTCTTTTACCCCAAGGCGCGAACGCCGATTCACCGAGATGAAATGGAGCGAGGTCGGATACGCGTGTGGCCACTCGCCGGCCTGCTCGTCGGCCCCCGCGCGCGCTCCGCGTGCGAATCCAGCCGCGTTTGTTTCCGGCTCGTGTGGCAGAATGGGTGGCCCCACGTCTGCCACCTCTTCCGAACAGCAGGCACACCAAAGCAAGAAGTCTGCCTGGCGGCAGGTGCCCCACGGACCCGCAGGAGCTCCTGAGCACCTTAGGACCCGCAGAAACTCTTGAGCACCTTAGGACCCACAGAAGCTCGACGAGACTATGGCCCAAGAGTTCTGATGGCAACACGTCTTACCGTATGTGTCTACTGTCCTCCCCCGTATCGCTCGCATTTTTTCACAGCGGGCGATCCTGCCTTGTTTCGGGCCCCAGGACCCTCACGGACCGATCCGGCTCGAAACACGCGGCAGAAAGATTCGGTCCAGGGCTTTTCGGACGGGGCCAGGACGAGGATAAGTCCGTTCCAGAGCGCTCCGGAGCGCTGTCAGAGCGTTCCAGGACGTTCTGAGTCAGTGAGAAGGCCGCGGCGCCCGTGATATCTTCCAGAGCCGCCAGATCTCAGAGATGCTCGATTTATCCTCGCCCGAATTGATCCTCGTCCCGGCTTCGTCTTACAGTCAACCCGCAATGTAAGGATGGGCAACCTTCCCAAGGGTACCCTTACATCCTTGCCTCCTCGGTCCATCCTCGGCCACCTTCGTTGGCCGCGCCCCGCCC